TTCACATTGTCAGTTAGTACATATCGGCTCCTCGCACTCCCCACTATACTGCTCTCCTTCACATCCTTCGCTACCTCAAAGGCACTCTGTTCCATGGCCTTCACTTCTCTACTTCCTCCTCTCTTGAACTGTGTGCCTTTTCCGATGCTGATTGGGCTGGGAATCCTACGGATCGACGCTCTACCATGGGATTTTGCTTCTTCTTAGGGGATTCTCTTCTTGCTTGGCGTAGCAAAAAACAATCCCTCACTGCACGCTTTAGCACCGAAGTTAAATACCAAGCTCTTGCTGATACTACTCAGGAACTTCTCTGGCTTCGCTGGCTCCTTGCTGATATGGGTGTTTCTTCTTCTAGTCCTACCCCTCTCTATTGTGACAATCAGAGTGCCATTCAGATTGCTCACAATGATGTTTTTCATAATCGCACCAAACATATTGAGATTGATTGTCATTTCATTCGCCAGCATGTTACCTGTGGTACTGTTCATCTTCTCCCTATTGCTTTAGTCGATCAACCCGCTGATATCTTCACTAAGGTTTATCCTCCTGAACGCTTCAATGATCTTGTTTGCAAACTCAACTTGGTTGATGCTTTCCCTCCTTGAGTTTGCGGGGGGATGTTAGTGTATAATTGTTAATAGCCGTTATAGCATCATAGTGTATAATTGTTAATAGCTGTTATAGTATAGCATCATAGCTTAGCATTATAGCTTTAGCACTTTATCTTTTATATTGTAAATGTTTTATGCTTTCGGTGAGCATCCAATGCATCATATCCTTTCTATAAAGAGAGTGCATTCTCTTTGTAAACATACACACAATTACAGACAATTCAGTGTCTCTCTCTCTTTCATATATCCTCTCTCTCTCTATCAAACTATTGTTTCACATTGCATCATACATTATTGATGCGGGTCTGGAGACTGGGGGGAAGGTTCGGTTGTATTCAGTTGGATGTGATACATGAGTGGTGAAGTCATTAAGAGGGAGTTAATAATAGGGGTTACTAATGCTGGGGAAGGAAGAACATGGTTTTTCTGTTGAATTTGAACATTAAATTAAAAGAAGATTGGTAGTGAGCTCGCTCCCCGCATTTTCTCATCTTCAGATCCCAGTCCAATCCATTTACAACAACAGTCTTAGCAACCTAGAGACTTAGACAGATGTACCCAAAAACCACCTAATAGGTGTAATAGTGTGGGTATTTGGATATATCAAAACAACACTCAAGCTGGCCTGGCCCTCATCTAATTGATGCGGAGGAGCTACTTTGTCATATTAATGTTCGGGATTCTAAATGAATTACTAAATATTTTATATAATAATCACATATAAAAAAAAGTTAAATCTGAGTTGATGATGCACAAACGAGAACAAAGACAATGTTATTAATATTGTTCGATTATTTTTGTAGTGCGTTTAATATATATGGAAAGTTCAACAAAATGAATGATTTAGATTATCGAAACAAGACTCGTGATGGGCGCCGCGAGCCCTAACATGACGGTAAAAAATAATGACAAAGGGCTACACCACAGTCCTATTTTGATAATCTGAATCATTGACCATTCATGTATATATACCTTTAAAAAAATTAGGTTGATCAAATAATTGTAACATATTTAATTTATTGATTTGTTTCCAAAAAAATAAATGGCAATTATGTTTGAAAACAAATCATTCGTTTTTTTGGTGACAAACGCTATAAATTGAATAAAATATGATTATCGGATCAACCTAATTTTTGTGTATATAATATACGTAAAAAATTTTATAAAATGAATGATTTGAATCATCGAATGAACAACACCCACATCCAGGGACAATTTTTAATTAACTTGTTAACATTACATATTATATTTTTAAAAGAAAATAAAAATTCAGGAAAAATTAAATGTAAAAACTATCAATGGAACATTAATTTTGTCGTGAATAATATATTAGACTTTCTTTGACTCAGTTTGACCTGTTTCTTTCCCACAAGAGAAACAATAAGTAACAAAATTAAGCAAAGCATAACTGTTGACCATGCACAACAGTAACTTTGTTGTTGCTATTAAATTTGACCCGCTTCTTCCCCATAAGAGGAGCATTAATAACTACAAAAATTATTCAATATTTCTGAAGTATCACGTGTTCATACTTTCTAATCAATTATCATTCAGTTTGTACTACATGCATATATCATTCATGTACCCCATCTATCCACCTTCGCCACCAATTATAATACTATAGAATACTATTTGTCCATATTCCGAAATTACTAAATAATTACCCTTAATAACTATTCCCTTTGGCAATAATAAATAAATAAATCACATTTTTTATTTTTATTTTTTAAAATTTATGTCAGAGAAATTACTTCAGTTCAATCTAATTTAGAAGAATCAAAAAATATATTTTAAAAAAAAAACCCCAAAAAATATCACTGAAGAAAAAAAAAAAAAAAGTCAAATATTATTTTTTTGTCTTCAATGAATTTCTTTGATTTTTTTTTTTTTCAAGTTTATCTAATCTAGTTAAACTTAAAAATGTGAAACTTTTTAATTTTTTTAAAAAAGAAAAATAAAACATTAAAGATGATAGAATAAAAATAAAAATAAAACTACTTAAAAATGCAATTGCTAAATCCCATGCATCATGATGGAAAGTTGACCAAACGTTTTCAAGAGCAAAAATGCTAGAGGTCTCAAAAATTCTACCAAAAATTTTACCAAATATCTCACATAGGTGTGGGACCCACATGAGACCCATATTGTGTGGGTCCCACACCCATGTGAGACATTTAGTAAAACTTTTAATAGAATATTTGAGGTCTCTAACATTACTCTTTCAAGAGTAACAGAGGAGAAAAAGGAAATTAATTAATAAATATACTAATAAATTTTATTAATTGATCTGTCACTCAATAATAACATTTTAGAACTTAAACCAAGATCTACTTCAACAACATAATTAACAAATTTTAAAAAATGTCGTCACTCTTTTTAAGAGTGAATATTAGGTGTAATAATGATATTATCAATCCAATAATCAATTTTGATTTGCGCAATATTGTTGAGTTAGTGGAAAATAAAATTTGTCCAACTAATTCATTTGCAACTTGTCATTGATTAGTAACACGCCGTTACACTCAATATTTTCTTTTTTCATTTTACAAATCTCGAATGAGTGTTAAAATAATACTGACATGTTTTGCACAACTCCTAATTCATTAATTCAAATTTAAACAATAAATAGGTAAGTATATAAAGAAAATTTTCAAATTAATTATAATAGTATTAAGAACACAAAAATCAAATACAAAATCAAACATAAAAATATAAAAACTAACAAGATTTTATAAAATTGGTCGTAGGGCTCACTTTTTAAAAATTAATCCGTCATTTAATTTTATATTCTTAAACATATTGAATTAATTATCAAGACAACATGAATATGAACTCTACATGTGTGTGACTCCACACTCATATGCGTTGTTGGTAATCCATTTAATAGAATGGTTGGTGTCTATAATAAAGTTGCAAATTAAATTCAAGTTTTGTTTTAGACTTTTCACTCCAATGTCAGACAGAGCAATGAAGCCAAATTCAGCCCAAAGATTATAGGAAGGGCCCAATCAAACTATTACGACAAAATAAAAGAGGCTTAGATGGAAATGGAAATTTTTTTTAAAAAATATATGGGCATTGTGTTATAAATTGCTAAAATTTAATAAAATTTAAAAATTAAAAAAAACAAATGAAATTATCTTGCCACTTTGTTCCTCATTTCTTCTCCACAATTTTTTAATGAGTGATACTATTAGCACCTTATAAATTATTTTGGACCCCTATTTCTTTGGGTCTCCACTTATAAATTTTGAAATCCTCAAAATTTCTTTTTTCCCCCAAATAATACTAAAATTATCTTTGTAAAAATATTTCACCCATTGATTGCACACCCCTCACATCTCAAAAAAAAATCCCTTTTCCAAAAACCCTAACAAAACCCACCAAGAAGAAGAAGAGCCAATGCGATTACTGTCTCTACTACATCATCTACCAATGTCACAGTTGATATGCTTTCTCTCTATATATATTATTTCTTAGTTTTCTCATAATAATTTCTTCTCTTACAGAAAAAAAAATTATAATAATTGGTTTTGTTGGTAGATATTATAAAATTATAAGTTCAACAGAAAACTACGCAACAATATTATCAAAGTCGATATAAGAATAACTTTTGAACCTGATAATGGATTTGGGCTACTTCCGATAACTTCTATAAGTATTAAAAATTTTGACTATTCAATGTGTTAAGAAATTTCCATGTTTGGACCTGTATTCCCGAACTTAAAAAAAATTCCATGTTCAAGAATGCCTTCTCAAACAAATAAGTATTTTCAGGCCTGTATTCCCGTTGAAAAAATGAAAACTTCTGCAAGCCTTAACAATTTTGACCGTTCAATGTGTTAAAAAATTTACATGTTCGAACTTGCATTACCAAACATTACTTATTTGTTCAGGGAAGACGTTCCCAAACAAATAAGTAATGTTCAGGCCTGTATTCCCGAACTTGAAAAATGAAAACTTCTACAAGTGTTAACATTTTTAACCTTTCAAAATGTTAATAAATTTCCATGTTTGAATCTGCGTTCTCGAACAAAGAAGCTATGTTGCCACCAAAGGGTTTTCAAGGTTTTGAGGATGTGGAGGTTTTGAAGATGAGATTTGAGGAAGATGAATGGGTGGTGATGGAGATGGGTGCTCTCATAAACCCTAATTCATGATGTGATTTAACTATGAGATGAGGTGTCCCAAAATTAATGATATCATTTTTAGTAATTTTATTTGAGGTTATTATTGTAATAAAAAAAGTTAAAAATTCAAGAGTCCAAAATAATTTATAGAGTGCTAGTAGCAGCACTCTTTTTTTACCTGACAATAATGGGTTTGTTTTTGGTGCTAGCTATATCATATTACTCAATTTATCAAATAAATGACAATCTCACAATGAAGTTAGAGGTAATTGATCTTTGTCATTTAGATTCTCTGTGAGGAATTACACAAAATACAAATATTTTACAGCAGCATGAGACTATCCAATGATCTAAAAATAAGAAAGAAAAAAAAAATTTATATGAAAATAGTTTGCCCAAAACCCCCAAAACCAAGGGGTTAATCAGCATAGCTTGTGTCACCAGTAATCTCTGCACGAGCATTGACCGTTCAAGAAACAATGAAAACCTGAACCGTCCCTAACATATATCTCTCTCTTGCTTACAATCGAAACATACTTCAAGAACGTATGGCAGTCCCCACAGAGGACAATGTTCTTCATAACCCGAATGGGTTTTCCTGGCCTAGTTGTCAAAAGCCCATAGGTTACCACAAGTTTTGCACTGTGGTAGAACAAAAAATCCTTCTTTTGATGCTCCTCTACTTCATGAAGCACAAAGCTCGTGTCTGGGATATATCCAGCTTTTAGGCATTCCAATATTAGTATTTCCAATCCACTATAGATGTCTTTGGATTGGTAATGTGTTTTATCCCTTGCATAGAATGAATGAACCTTGTTTTGATGAATAATCCAACTTTGACCCGGGAGTTTCTGAAATCCCTTCTCCCTCATCTCGTCCCTGATCATTTCAGAGCACTGCCATCTCCCGGATGCAGAATATAGATTTGATACAAGTACATATGTAGATGGATTGCTTGGCTCCAAAGCAAGTATCTGCTTTGCAGCCTGTTTCCCTAGTCTTGTATTCAAACGGATTCTACAAGTATCAAGCAACGCTCGCCAAACAGAGGCCTCCGGCTCAAAAGGCATCTTATTGATAAAATCCTCAGCTTCTTCAAGCAGACCCCAAAAACCCAAAACAGCAACCATGGAGGCATAATGCTCTGAAGCGGGCTCAATGTCATATTTGGTTTTCATTGATTTGAACAATCTGTGGCACTTATCAACTAAATTTGAGTTTGTGTCTAGAAGCTGAAATAACCAAGAGAAAGGTAACTGCATCTGGATTTAATCCTGCCTTTTCTATCTTTGACCGTACATCCAAGGCCTCATCGCCCTGCCTGTAAAGGAGGTAGCCAGCCATCAAACTGTTCCATGAAACTATATCATGCTTTGACATCAAACTGAAAGCCTTAACTGCATCTTCCATGTTCCCACACTTATAGTACATGCTAATTATGCCGTTTCCAACGCCTACATCGCACATAAAACCAGATTTAAGTGCAAGACAATGGATTTGTTCCCCAATCGCACGAAAACCTAAAGTTCCACAGACGCCAAGTGCTGCAGCCATTGCAACCTCATCAACAACCATGTCTTCCACCCGCATCAAGCAGAAAAGAGAAATTGCCTCATCTGGTTGCCCATTTCGAGCATACCCACATATCATTGATGTCCACGTGATTGAACTACTCTGGTTGGCAGGGCAATGATAGAACATTTCCTCTGCATCAGCCATCCTTCCACACCTTGTGTACATATCAAGCAAAGCTGCTTCAATACAATCATTTGACCCAAAACCAAACTTGACAACAAAACCATGGATCTGTTCACTGATCTTCACTTCCATCAACAACCCACAAGCATTGATAACACTAGTCAAAGTGAAGTCGGTTAACTCAACCCCACCCTCCACCATTTTGCAAAACAATACCAAAGCCCTTGAGCCTTTGCCATTTTGACAATATCCCGCTAATAGAGCATTATAAGAAACACAATTCCTCTCCGGCATCCGATCAAAAGTCTCCACAGCCATACCAATGAGCCCAAATTCCATGTACGCCGTAATCATTTCAGTCCAAGTAATTATATCTTTTAAAGGCATCCTCTCAAACAAAGCCACCACATCTCTTACATTCCCACACTTCGTGTAGAACCCAATAAGCGCATTATTTACACTCAAATTGGACTCTAAACCGATTCTCTGAGCATGGGCGTGAATTTCTCGGCCTCCCATCCAAGCCAAACACCCAGTAGAGGCAACCAGAAGGGTTGAAAGCGTAAATTGGTCAACTCTAAAACCATCAATTCTTTGCATATTTCGAAACAAATCAAACCCTCCATCATAATCCAAGTCCTTCACTACACCAACTATGAGGGTATTCCATGAAGCAATATCTCTTTGAGGCATTTCATCAAACAATGAAACCACAAAATCCAAACACCCACATTTACTATACAAACCCATTAGAGCATTCGAAACAAAAGTACACTCCAAATGACCCATTTTCATTGCCAAAGAATGAACTTGAAAACCCAATTTCAACTCAGAAAGACGAATACAAGCAGTTAGTATGGCGACGAAACTAAACTCATTGGGTTCGATACCTGAACCTCTCATTTCAAAGAAAAGCTGCACAGCTAAAACTTCCCGATTCGACTTCGCGAAACCCGAAATCATTGCAGAGTAAGAAACCACATTTGGGCACGAAAGACCTAAGAAAACTTTGTGAGCATGAGTTACAAGACCGAGCTTGAGGTAAGCGACGATGAGAGCGTTGGACAAATGGGTATCTTCTTCTTCGAGCTTGAGAATTGAGGCGTGGACTGACATAGCAAGTTCAATGTCTCCGTAACGAACTGAGAGACGAAGCAAATTGAAGTAATCGATGGTGGGTGGGTCATTGTTGATCGATGAATTGGAGTGGGTGTTAGGTTTTTGAGGGAAAAGGGGCTGAAGGGTTTGTGGGTTGGAGGCGGAGGGGAATTGGGTGGGGGAGGTGGTGGAGGATGAGATGAGTTGGCGTTTGGGTTTAGGGAGAGAGAGAGGTGTTTTGGAGAGAGAGATTGAGGAGATTACTTGTGGTGATTTTGATGGGTAGTGAGGGAATGGGAGGTGAGGAGAGAGAATAGACTGAGGGAACGTGGTGGTGGCGGCGGCGCCGGTGGTGGGGTGGTGGAAAATGGCAGCCATGGAAGGAAGAAGCGCCAACCATAACCTCGCTTTATCTGTGAGAGTGTTTTTTTTTTTTGGGTGAATAACTGTGAGAGTTAACTTGCCAGGATTTTGTTAAAAATTAAAAATATGCTCAAAAAAAAAAGAAAAAAGGACCATACTTGAAATTGTTGATAAAATGTTGGGTTTGAGTTTTTGAGAATTTGTTTTGAAAAATAAAAAATTAATTGACAAATTTTTTTTTTTTGTAAAAAAAAAAAAAAAAAAAAAAAAAAAAAAAAAAAAAAAAAAAAAAAAAAGTACAAAAAAATAATATTTTTGCTTGTCAATTTTTTTCTGTAAATTGAAGTGCGTCATCAACTTTATCCATAGGCTCTGTCGTGACAAAACATTTTTTTTTTGGGGAACGTGATGCGAAACAGGGTCGAAGAAATGACAGTATGCATGTCTGAGAAATTTAAAATTTCTCATACACGCAAGGGGCAAATGTAAGAGGGGCTAATTTGAGCCCACTAAATTATTTAGGCCCAATAGCCCAAGATTAGTGGGCCCGAATTTATCACAAGTCCAAGAATCAGTGGGCCCAGATTTATCGCCATCAAACGGATTGAATCGCTCTAAGCCTCGAAAGGGTTCGGATCCACGAACCTAGAGACTTACTCAGGCCCGGACTCGAAAGGGTATTAGGCAAGCCTAGAGATCCGAGGCACTCGGACTCGAAAGGATTCGGATCCACGAATCTAGAGATCCGAAGTACTTGGCTTCGAACGGATTCAAACACAATCTAGA